TCAAAGTACTGCCAACACTCCAGTCCAGTAGGTGGCGGTAAATGCAACCGCCAATAAAATTAAAAGAAGAAGAAGAAGCGTCTGCGCTATATTGGGCGGGCTTACTAGTTCAAAATTTCATCGGGTGTGCAGCACTTGTTGACCTTCGAGCATATTGAAGTTTTAACACTTAAGTTTAACAAATTTCACATTTTTTATAGGTTTTTCCACAGTGTTTGAGTTATCGACCTCTTTTGTCGGTCATGTCTTTCTCAAGAGCTCCATTAAAGAGATTTAACGAGCATGTCGGTAAGTTTCTCGTCTCCTCTCTATTAAGTTATGCGATGTTAACGTAGAGTAACTGTTATGTGCTTTAAACAGTTTAATTAAAATAAATAATTAAAGTGATATTAATGTAGTTATCTGCTTAGTTCTCACGGTCTAAACCCATTTCATAAAGCTCAACTTTATAATTTCATACAGTTATTAAACGGCTGTTTTCTTGCAGCTGCGATGGGTCAATTCTCTGCCAAAGTTTATCAAATACACAACCGTAATTGCACGCTGTGCAGTCATTCATTTCACAAAATCACAATCAAAAATCACGTAATGAAGACTGATGCTGCTCATGTATTTCACACAGCTGAGAGGACACGTTAAGACATGTCAGCTGTCTCCCAGATATTGAGAGGTTCATATTAATAGCCTTTATTTATTGATGCTTGATATTTTTTTCGTATATTTAGGTTGTGCTCCTCCACCTGGTACATATGAGGTGAAGTCTGGTGATGTGAAAGGAACTGCATCATTTCATAAAGCAGAGCGCTTCAGATCAGCTCCAAAAAGTGAGAGCAGATTGTGTTTAACTGGCATTTGAGTTTACATTTTCATCTGTTGGTTGTAAATGAGAAGCTCTACCTTTCAATAATATCTCCTTTCTTTTGAAAATGCTGATCAGCAGCGGTACCCCTGCCATCCCCCTCAAAAGAAGTGCCCATGTCTCCTGTTCGGAGGACCATGTCTGTTGATGGTTTGGTAAGAGATGTACATGTAATTATTTGCTTGTGGTTCGACCATACCTGAATTATTAGTTAATTAAAAGATGTACACAAAATTGAGGAAAGTATAAGAACACTTATTAAACAGCTCTATTCTAACATTTACTTAAACTTCATGCTGTGCCAAACCTGTACAAA